TTCATCTATTTGTGACTGTTTCTTGAATGTCAAATCCTCTATATGTTAACTGCATCCGCCTACGCAAAGTCTGTTGTGGTCGGTTTTGAATCAATCTTTGTTCACATTTTCTCACGACAAATCTTGGGAACGTAAATATTGACGTAAATTACTGTCTACCAATTTGGCTAGTAGACAGCTCTCACCACACTCGTCCCCCCGTCAAATAGCTTCGCTCGCAGGCATTCCGACCTTCTGGGTGATGCGTTCTCTCGTTGATGATTGTTACAGACCGGCTTGTCCCAATGCACACATCGTTGGATCTGACTGGCGTTAACTCGTTTTTGTTTGTCACCTCTTCTGATGGTATATACTTGACCCCGTCTTTTTGTGACTGTGTATGGTCCTTCCCACTTTGGAAGGAATTTGCGTGAACCTGGCCCGCATCCGACAGCATATCTTCTGTCTCTACACTTCACTTGATCCCCGACTGAGAAGGTAATGCACTGAGTCTTTTCTCTCAGCTGAGACTTCGCAGCATCCCTCCGCTGCTTCTGCATTACATTCTTGACGGCTTCTTTCCGTTCTGCTTTTAATTTCGTCGTACTCCACTTTTGGTGAAGGGGCCAGGTTTCGTTGTGTATCAGTAATCGTGGTTTTCTACCATACATCAGTTGAAAGGGTGACCTTTTCGTTGTTTCCTGGGTGGTGGCACGATGTGTTAGTAGAATCAGTGGCAGCTCCGTTTCCCAGTCACCGCGCTTCGAGGCCAGCCACTCCTTCAGTGTACGGTTGTTTCCCTCCGTCAGGCCATTCGTTTGTGGATGGTATGGGGTCGTTCGGATCCTCTTGACGCCAAGCTGTTGCAAACAGAAAGTAAATTCTTCACTTTCGAAACACGGACCTTGGTCTGTCAGTATTGTCTTTGGTACGCCATGGTCTGCAACAATGTGTCTAACTACTGCATCTGTCACGGTCCTTGCGCGTTGGTGTGGGATTGCTACGGCGTCTACCCATCGTGTCGCGTGTTCCGTCATCACCAAGAGGTACTGATTACCATTGGATGTCTGAGGAAATGGACCCATAACATCTACGGACCACAAGTCACCTATCGCCGTAACTGGAATCGACTGAAGTGGTGGTCGTATGCACCGGTCGCCTTTCATTAGCTGGCACCGTGGACATCCAAGTACATATCTTGCTACGTCTTCTCGCATACCTGGCCAGTACATACTTTGTCTCAAGAGGTCGGTTGTTCTGGCCACTCCGGTATATGCTAGCTGGTGGCATTCTTCTATCATGTCGTGGCGCGACGATTGAGGTATGACAGCTAGCCAGCTTCCGTCGTCCTCTCGCCAGGTCAGAGTCCCGTAGACATTCACTCTTAGTCGATCTCTCTGTCTGAGTAGTGTGGTTGGCTCCTTACTCGCTGTAGCTGGATCCACTTCTATTCCGTTAGTGATCACCTGTATTACTGTATTCAGCGTATCGTCTAACCTTTGTCTGCGTGCCAGTCTTAGTGGGTCTTGTTCTACTGCATGCACTCCGTAAGCGACCTTAGGCAACTCAGACTTGTCTTCTGGTCTCGATAACAAATCTGCCAAGACATTTTCATTTCCAGGAACGTGTGAGATGGTAAAATCGTACTCCTGAAGACGCAACATCCACCATGACAATTTCCCTCGTGGGTCTCTCGCTGTCTTCAGAAACTGTAGCGGCTTATGATCCGTTTCGATGTGGAATCGCCGGCCGAGTAAATAAGGTCTCCATTTGTCGATTGCCCATACCATCGCTAAACATTCTTTCTCTATCGTTGAATACTTTCGCTCTGTGTGTGTCAAAACCCGACTGGCATACTCAACGATTCCCTCACCCTGTCTTAGGACCGCACCTATGGCGTAGTCACTGGCATCTGTGCACACTGTGAACTGTCTTCCAGGTACAGGTAGCTTTAGTGTCATTTGTTGGTGGTCGAGCAGCTGTTTAATCCTGTTGAATGTCTTCTGCGATTCCTCCGACCAAACAAACTTCGGTTCACCTAGTAGCCTGTACAGACGGGCTGCTATCTCATTGAAGTTCTTCACGAAGCGACTATAAAACGCTGCTCTAGCTAAGAATTGTCTCAATTTCCTCTTTGAATTCGGGGCCGGGATCGTCTTTATCGTCAAGATTTTCTCCGGTAGTGGTTTCATCTCACCATTTCCCACTTTAAGTCCCAAAAGAGTTACATTCTTTTTGGCTATCTGAGACTTGGTTTTGTTGACGCGCAGTCAAAACTCTTCGATGCGTCGCAGCACGGCTTCCACATGGTTCACATGATCGTTTTCGTTTTGACTATATATGACGAGATCATCACCGTACACCTCAACGTTTTTCAAGTTCTTAAGTAATAGCGTCATCAGTCGTCTGAACGTGAACGGTGCACCTGCTAGTCCAAACGGCATGCGTTTAAATCGATATTGTGTCTGACCCACGATGAATGCCGTCTTATCTCTACCACCTGGCTTTATCGGTATCTGCCAGTATCCTGAGCGAAGATCGAGAACTGAAAACAAATTTGCGCCTTGTGGGCGATCTAAAGTTTCTACTGCTGTTGGCGTGGCACACGGTCTTAATTCTGTCATACCGTTTAACTGTCAAAAATCAACGCAGAATCTATACTTCCCATTCGCCTTTTTTACTAACAGCACTGGAGAGTTGTACGGGCTATCAGCTTCTTCAATAATATCATCTTTTAACATCTCTCGCACCTGTCGCTCAACTTCGCCTTCTAAATGAAATGGAACTCTTCGCGTGGTAAATGACGTTACTTTCGGGCCACTTAACGGAATTTCATGATTCACCTTATCGCAATAACCGTATGGGTCCCCATCTCCAGTAAACAGATGATCGTATTTATTAATTAACTCTGTCATATTGTGTACCTCCGACAGGTTAACCGCTGCTATCTCACTGGTCTCATACATGCTGATACGTCCGTATTTCGTGATCACAACCTTCGCTTGCGTGTTGATTATCGCACCAATCTCCTGCACAAAATCCGCGCCAAGTATCGTCCGTCGTAATTCGGGCACAACAATGAAGGGGAACGTCACCTCACAGCTGCCAACCACGACCATGCAGTTCGATCTACCCGTGATACGCAATACGTGCCCGCCTACCGTTTGTACTGTCAATGAGCATGGACTAACACTCGCACATAAGTTCTTATCTATTGGAGACACAGCCGCCCCCGTATCTACTAAACATACTACTTCTTGATCATTCACTCGCAACTTCGAATACACAACCCCTTTCTCGATAGCCCCCACTACATCTAGTTTTATACGAGAGGAAGAACACGTATTATACCGTCTGAAACTTTTTCTTTTTCCCCTTTCTGGACAGTATCTCCTCCAGTGTCCCGGCTTACCGCATTCAAAACACCGGTCTTTCCTGTCACCCAAATTTAACGCTGCCACTTCCCGCTGCAACGCTTCAATTTTCTGCTCGAATTCGTTTGGTTTTGGTTGCTCTATGGCAGCTACATTTGTGCTCAGCAGCTGTCTGGTCACCTTCGCCAGCTCATTAATATCCATCGGCTGCGCAGCGTTAACCAGTTTTAATTGCTGAGAAATGTGGTCTGGGACACTCTCGATGAACTGGGAACTCAGCAACTGCGCCTCTGAATCTTCATCCAAAGTGGGAAGCGCACGTCGAAGGTGATTGGTCAATCTCACCGCCAACACTAACGGATCTCCATCAGGTCCGAGCTTCGTTGAACGGAACTGCTGCATTGCCAGCTGTCTGTCTGTTGGACTGTCGAACTCCGACACCAATCGTTCAACCAATGTCTTCCAAGACGCTGTGCCATCTGACCTCTCTACGCTGTCATATGCCGCCTTCGCTCGGCCTCTCAACAGCGTCCCCAGTACAACCGCCTTCGCCGCCTGCTCTTTGACACCAACCAACTCAGCGACGGCCTCGAAGTCACGTAAGAAGCTCCGTATGTCTCCTTCTTCAAAAGCAGTTGGCCATGGGATCTTCATTGTTCGGAGGCAGCGATACCAATTGTAACGACAGAAGGCAAGAGTCAGGCAACAGATCATTTATTAAGGAAATCAACGCATATTTATATATTTTCATTTACATTACTATGGATATTTAAGCAAACAAACATAGTCTTCCGATTGGTTGTTTCTCACGTAAAGTTAATCTTTCATCTATTTGTGACTGTTTCTTGAATGTCAAATCCTCTATATGTTAACTGCATCCGCCTACGCAAAGTCTGCTGTGGTCGGTTTTGAATCAATCTTTGTTCACATTTTCTCACGACAAATCTTGGGAACGTAAATATTGACGTAAATTTCTGTCTACCAATTTGGCTAGTAGACAGCTCTCACCACAACATCAGTTTTGTTTATAATATTAATTCATTGAATTCCTACTTATCAGTTACAATCATTAGCGAGTTTGATTATGTTGAGCATATTGTTTTCGATAGGGCTTTCATTAATTACACGCAATCACGTTCAGAAAGCCCCTACTACTCTGTAACCTTATCTATTATATGATCCATGCTGGTGGCTAGTTTTCGTTGGTGTGATTATTGTGTTAAGAAACATGAATTATTCCCAGTAGGTCACTTGTAATTTGACATCTATGATCCAACTGATCCTTGAGGATTTGTACTCATCAGTTTCAAACATCATTGTTTGTCATCATTCTGCTTACAATATTTTCTAGATAGCCCACAGAAACTATAGTTAATTGTGCTAAACACAGTCAAGTAAGAGAGTATTTTAATGTAACCTTATCTGTTTAACAAATGAACATTATGAATCATTAGTGCTATCTAAATATTATGCAATATTTTTTTATTATTTTTGCGTGTAATTGGATATTGTTTACATAAGAATATGAGATCTGCTGAATTAATATTTAGAACACAATATTCAGGGAAGAGACTCTTTCCAACGAATTTATCATCAACATGCACAATGATATATATACATATTTTTTTTAAGAAATTGTATACGGTGAGGGGATTGGATCAAAGGTGTGAATACATGAAATAATAATAGTATGAAATGCAATTAGAATATTTGTGATTATAATCATAATTGAATGTTTAAGTTTGATTGGATGGAAGATTTCATCATGAGCTGACATCAGTTAGAGAACCACTGGAAAACCTGGGAGTACTGGACAGTTTTTTCGTCCAAAACTCGAAAATTAATATGATGCTCACTAGCGACTGGCCCTATTCAGGTAGTGACCAAGGGTTCCAGTGGGGAGCCGTGATCAGTAGGGTACAGCAGGTTGAAGATGAGGTAGTAACTCATCGAAGAATACACTGCAAAATGGTCGCGCTATGTCGTGAATTGGCAGAAGTTAGAATTCATGCGCCATTGGATCAGGTCTCAGTGGATCAATGGTCTACGAGCTCGCCTTGTAACCAGAAGCTGCTGAGTTTGAACCGTGGGGTGGGTGCGTACTGATGAAGAGTCCCAAACTACGACAAAACAGCTGTCCAGTACTCCAAAGTTTTCTAGTGGTTCTGGAACTGATGTCAGCTCATAATGGAATCATTCATCCAATCAAACAAAATCCCTATAAAACCAATACTTGAGAATGTTTTAGTAGCAAAACAATTATGTTGGGAAGTAGTGTATAATTATAGGATTAGTAGGCGAATATAAAACGTTACATAACGTGGTGTGAAATTTGATAAGACAGAATTCAGTATTGTAAAACAATTTTGTATTTAGAATAACAAGTTGGATAAGCGGAAACAATTCAGAGTGAGAATAGGCATAATAATAATCATAATAATCGTATTAATGAGGGGATATACGTAGATTAGCTAGAAAAAAAATAAATAAATGTCTATCTCTCCACAGCCGAGGCAGAAATAGTGATTGAACATGCTTCTTTTGTACACAAAGTTCCGCCTTAAATTAATGAATGGCCAAGGCCTCCGCTGTCTTAAGAAGTTTATAACGAAGAAAATGCGGTAAGTTAGCATGAATTCTGTAGGTGATTTTAAAATCAAACATCTTTGCAGCCTAAAGCATGTAGTAGCAGGAAAATGGATTCCGACTGATCGCACTGAATATGTATTTAATCATTCTTCCGTCACTCTTCCTGAAACTCAACTGCAAGCTCTACCACTTGGCCCCAAGTTCTGTAACAGTGCGTCCAAAGTCAACAGTCTGCATATTCATGTTCAATTTGAAAATCTAATTAACCAGACCAACGATCCCGTACCCACATCACCTTAGAAATTCCAACGCTTCAAATCTACAGTTCTTGATTGCTATCATCAGTTTACTAGTTCAAAACCATACTCGAATAATCTTCTGACCAAAAACTGGAGAAGAATTATGATATTATTACATGCCGTCCAGACAGATGTGGAGGTGTTGCAGTTATGAATCGCCAAGATTATGATGAGAAAGATCTCAGTGGTCCTTCCTGGCCAAATGAAATTCGCCAAACCCGATGGTGGAAAAACGAGGCACATATAACTGAAAATCAATTGACTGATTTTTTCAAAGAACATGAGGAATAAGTCAGTAATCTCGTCAGATCTAAATGAACACAGCCGACTATTTGGCTCCATAATACCACGTTCGAATGGGCTGCCGAAAATTCGCAAGGCAAAACTACCCGTCCATCCAATTCTCGATATGGCGGGTTCTCTTTATCACAGAATTGCTCAATGGCTAGCTGAAATACTAGAACCGGTTAGAAGGTAAGTGTCTAAGTTTTCTTTTGATGTTACATTTAAATTTATTGAGGGTATTAAAGATTTTAATGTCTCAGACAAAGTAATGTTCTCATTAGATGTGGCTTCGCTATTTATCAATGTACCTCTCATGGAAACTGTTTGCTATATATGTGATTATATTGATACACATAGTTTAGAAATAGGATTGCCGACAAACTACCTTGAAGAAATTTTGTTCAGATGCACGTTGAATGTTCACTTTACGTTCAGTAATGAGATGTCTAGACAGAGAGATGGCATTGAGGTGGGATAACCACTGGGTCCTCTACTGGTTGATTTTTTTATTGCAAAGCTTTAAAACTCTCAACTTAGTTAAACCCCTAGTCAGTTTGACATTTATGGAAGATTTTGAGCGAACAATTGTTTTCGATAACTTCTTCTCCAGGCTCTACAGTTATAAATCCATGAATAATAGAGTACATATAGCCAATAAAGGCAAATGAAAATAATATCAGAAATTGTATTGGGGTGCATGTGTAAGTTGAGATGATAGTCCATTAGTTAACATAATCAATCAAATGTGTATAGGGTGTATAGTCAGAAAAATGTGATGAAGTGTGAATGAACAATTGGGTGATATAGTGCTGTTTTATAGTCAACAGGATACAAGTGTCATTGGGGTGAGAGAAATGCGATAGACACAAAATACACACAAACACACATTAACAAAGGGGACACTGAATGTGAGGATTGACCGATAATGTCTAATGATAAAATAAAGAGGCTAAATTGTAAATTGTAATAAGATGTTACAGAGTTGGTAGGCTTAGTGTAAAATCATAAAGGTTGACAAAAATTAAGGATAACAATGAGGTGAAATAAACTGGGTGGAGAAATGGATAATAAAGACATGATATCACGGAATGATAATAATGTTAATAATAATCCGAAAAATTATGATCCTAGTAACGTTATATTCGGCCAGGGTCGACAGAGAGAGTGAATAAGTTTTTTCAAATTACAAGTGACCTACTGGGAATACACAATAATCACACCAACGAAAACTAGCCACCAGCATGGATCATATAATAGATAAGGTTACAGAGTAATAGGGGCTTTCTGGACGTGATTGCGTGTAATTAATGCAAGCCCTATCGAAAACAATAGGCTCAACATAAGTAGAAATTCAATGAATTAATATTATAAACGCAACTGATGTTAATAATTCACTTTTATTTGCTCGATAATCACAGTCATATTATTAATATTCGTTAATAGTAGTAGTATTTAGAGTTGTGGGAGTTTGAGTAATGAATATACTTTTATTATTATGTGGTGGTGATAATAGTAGTTTAAAGAAATAACGGCGATAACGAAAGATGAAACTCATCCAGTCATCCACTACCAACAAAATATTTACATGGTCATCCCATGATTAAGTCAAATGTCTATCAGATGACACATCACCACGCCGATGCAGCTGTATCCAAAGCTAAAGTGTGGCAAAATATGATCCAATAACCGTCATAACAGGGAGCCAGTGGGTTAAGTACATGTTTTGAAGGGTGACATTTAGTCTACCGAATCCCTAAGAATCACTTGACACCGAGGTATTCCAGATCATCCATGGACTCCGAAAGATAATGATAAGAACCACAGTTATGGCGAGACAGGGAGTAGTGAAAGAGAAGACGAAACAGTCAAAAGATGGACAAGGAAAGGAGAATCTGCAGCAAATTACAACGCATTGGATAAAGGAGTGGAAAGAGTGCTGATAAATTCAAAAAGCAATTTTACGATACATTGTGGACTGAAATTAAACAGGTTGCAAGCAAGAGGGACCTCAAATGACAATATCAGATAACCAGGTCTCTATCTGTGGATAGGTAAAGAGAGATGGAACCGATAGAAGATAGTGGAGGGAAGCTTATTGCCAAATAGGACAAACAAATAAATCCATTGGCTGATCGTTTCAAATGACTCCTAAACCTCCCGCTATTTACAATTCGCACTTAGGTAAGATTAACAGCAGGCACAAAACTGTCAGTGATAACAGAAGTCTCTAATGTCACACATTTAGTGGAAGCTAGGCGGTTTGACTGGTCGAGATTTCTCCAGAAGCACTGAAAACGGTGGCTATCGCTGGTGTTCTCATGCCACGGCTTCACAACGTTTGGAAGGAAGGAAGGATACATACTGACTGAATGAAAGTTTAGCTTGTCAGACTACTAATGATGGGCAACTTTATCCTTTGCAAAACTGACTTTTAATCATCCTTCTGCCCACGCCAAGCAAAATATTAATTCGTGTCATTCTGAACAGAATTAAACATTTTCTGTATGCAAACCTCCACTCGGAACAAGTCCGATTCAGGAAGAGGAAATCATCTGCAGATCAAATCGCAACTCTAATCACCCTCATTGGAAAGAGTATACAACGGAGTTCAACTCTCTAGCTTGACTTCAGATGAGGATGTTGAAGTAATGATGCGATGAGAAAAGCAACGCAGATCTTCATAAGTTTGAAATGTATGTGGATATTTGCTGCCTTTAGCATTAGGAGTAATATTCGTGTTTTCAACGCTGGTGTCACTGATTCGAGATGGTTCAGAAACATGCGTAGGTGCTCTGGAAAGTATTTCCAACAGGCCACAGACTTTTATCAACTAAGGCCTTAGCTAGATACTCAAGATAAGAGAAGAGGAATTTCGGCAATCGGAAACCGATTACCCAAAAATTATGTCGAAGAAAACGGAGATGGTTTGGAAACACTCTGTAGAGACTGCTGAGTGAAACCAGGCGCCAAACAAGCAGTCCAGTGGGGCCCGAAATGGAAACGATGACTTGGGAGTCAGAGATTGATATGAAGGAGAGCATGTGAGGAGGAAATGAGAGTGTATATTGTCTGTCCAGATAAAGAGAAATATAGAAAAGGGGATGAAATGGGTATGTACTGTTGAAGACCTGTATTCCATCGGGAACCTAAGGCGATATTAATAGTATTTGTGTAAATAAACACAGTAGTGCTTAGCAAAGAAATACAATAGTCTGTGTGTATTCGATTGGTCAGATTATCACTCAGCAAACACATAAATTGAATGGGTAAACACATCTGAGATAAACAACCATCATAATTCAAAATGCAATTAATCCAATGGTTCATTTTAACTATCATTTCCTTGATAAACATTAAAGCAGATGTTGATAAAGATTGGACTGTGGAAGACTATGAACTACTGGAGTTACACAATGCATATCGACATGCAGTATGGGATGGTAAAGTACAAAATCAACCACCTGCAATACAAATGCCAAACCTCGTAAGTGTACATATGTGTATACATAAAGAGCTGTGTATCATACTCATCAGCTTCATAACTTACTTCAAATGAAATTAATTCACTCATCACCAATTATGTCGGCATTATTTCTTCCAGACATGGTCTTACGAATTGGCTAACATTTCTAAGAATTGGGCGTCAACATGTCAACCTTATCCTAGCAACATAACAATGAGAGGTAAAACATCTTGGAATTATGTCGGTCAGAATGTCGCTGTTACTTCGAATGTGAGAGAGTAAGTTATCTAACATATAGATATTATATCAATAGTATTAACAGATTTAAGATTAAATACTCGAAAAAACACCCGCAGTTATTAAATTTGTTATCCGTTTCTCAAGGAAAGCACTCACCACATTGAAAGTCAAGTATCGGCAACAGACAATAAGTTCATTAGCACTTGTCAACGAGTTCTACTGCTCATGTAGATTTAGATACAGGTGTAAATCATAAAACCTATAACAGCTTACCACTACATCTGTTGGAAGTAGATACTGAACACATAATTAGCCCTGTCAAGTTGTATATTCTAAACAGTGGACGGTGAATCAAGTGGAATCAGGTTGTTTAGGTAATGTACTATGATCCTTATAATGTATCAAAGTATCAGATGACTTATATTCACTCTTACACAAATAAAATTATGTTCACTGAAGCAAAATGGAACATCTGCGAAGTGATCCTTGATTTTCATATCACAATTTCAGATGATTTCGTTCCTGTATGACATCCAGAGTGAATTCAATACAATACCCATTCATTCATTAATGACAGAAGAATCTTAATTGGACATTTTCTATTTGCATATTCTACTGTGCATACTGATTTCATTAATTCAGCAAATTTGAAACGACTTCCACTCCATCCGAAATATTTATGTCTGTTCCGTCAAATCATTTCTAGAATAGAAGAATGACTGTTTGACTGTAATTCCACGTAGTATGAAGAATAATCTGCATGTTGAGATATTTCATACCCATTCATTCAACAGTTGAGTAAGAATCACTTTCTTTAGGTAATTAGCTTACAAATAATGATTTCGAGAGAAGACACATCGTCTCTTTTCCTTCATCTTAATCGGAGTATAGTCCATTGCATCAGACGAGTACCTTAAATACCTGATGGGATACTAAACCTATTTTAACAACTACCAATTAAAAATACACTTGCTTGAAACCCAAACCGAAAGGGTTTACGAGGTGAGAAATACCTGTAAGATCATCATGATCAAGTTTATAAAAACAACTGAGATTTTTCAAGGAGTTTCAATATTTCTGTGTATTGACGACTACCTCCTCACATGTTCCTTCGTTCACAGTGCTGTGACCCTCTGGTTCAACGAATATTCAAACTATGATTTCAAACCAAACAAATGTAAAGAGAACAGAAGATGCGCAAATTACAAACAAGTAAGTCAGTTTAGAGTGGATTGAACAGACAAATAAAATTCACACCGACACATGTAGAAGTAAAACTCCGTCGTGTGTGACACAGTTAGAAATGAATGACATTGTCGTGCTCACCACATGACACTTGAACTCATGCAAGAAACTGGCGAGTATCGTCTTGTCAGACTATCAGCACCTTTTTTGTAAACAACTCTTGCCTTCCTTCTCATCAGACGGGACGAGAAGCAGTTTTAAACGACTTTATGCTTGGACGACTTAATATAAAATTTCTATGATACGTTATTTAGCACGCATTCTAGGTGGTGAAAAATGTGCTAGGCATGAAACTAATGATTTAACGAGAGACGCCCTGTAAACTGCCCGTTTTAATCCTTATTTCATTAGAATATTGTTGTCACTATTTCCACTGAATTATAATGCTGCATTAAATTCCCCATTGACATTATGATCAATGTAAATTTCCTCTTAATTTTTCCCCTCGTAAAATGTGATGTAAGGGAAATTACATGCAATATTGTATTACATGGTGAAAATTCAATCTGACATCAAAACCACTGTCTGGAATGAAGCCATTACCTTTATTCTCATCGTGACCAAAAGTTAGAGATTTGAAAATGAATCACATTGGATGGAGATAAATACTTCAACAGATATCGGCATATGTAATACCATTCGAAGATTTCGTGGAAGTTATTAGAAAGGAGGTATTCGGAGTTGTATGACAAATTTGGGATTTAGAAGACGTTAACCGTTAGCTGAAAATACAGAAGCGGACTGAGATATTTCCACGAAGATTACAATCAGTAATTTCCAGTTCATTCCTCTTTTAGAAACTGGGACTCCATGAACAGGAACCACACTCAAGAAATAGCATCTCAGCATGTCAAGTAATTAGTGGTGTATAATTTAGAAACCCAATTCCCACCGTTACACTAAACGAGGCATTTAGTACGAACTAAAGCGGAACAGATAGGTTCAAACATTTGAACATAATGAATGACCGATACTGTAATAGAACAAAATATAACGCCTTGTCACCTTCAGAGATGTTGACACAGTAAATTCAGGCTTTCATTCGTTGCATGTCATCATTCACACTGAGAATGTTATCTAAGCTGCAAAAAATACTTCAGAGTGCGTAGTAACTTGAGACAACCATCACGCCTCCTATTCGAATCAGTAGTTTTGTGAATAAGTGCCTCAGAAAACTGACGAACTAAGCACTTGTCAGTCGGCTGATTCTCTCATTTCTTTGAGTTATTTTACAGCAAGTAACCGATATTTTCAGGGTATGTGTACATACGTTTTATTATTATTATGGTGTCCGCATTTTACAGGTGGTGTTTTCAGAGACAGTGCAGGTTGGATGTGCGTATAAGAAATGTGATGACTTCGAAGCACCTAATAACACTGTTGTCGTATGTACTTACGGACCCGGGTATGTCGAGTTAGGGAATGATTTGTGATCCAATGCCCATTTTCTGCAAAATGTGTCGTCTATCCTTTTTATATTTCCAATTTTTCGAATTTATGTTCTTGTAAAATTTTAATGTTGAGGTTCAGTACAACGAAACTGTGAGAAATACCTCAGTAAGATGTCTTATTCCAATATGGAATAGTCATCAGGATGTATTCGCCTGATACATGAACCATGGGTCGATGTAAAACAAATGGGGCCCTCTCATTTACGTGGTGTACAGTTCGTAAATTTCACTCTCCGCTTGTTTCATGGAATACAGTGCCATGAATGGGTGATTACTTAAGTTTCATTGAAGTGAATATATTTATCCACTGAAAACACTTCTGAAGTAATCAGCTTGTGGATAACTGCGTTCAAATTGAGTACCAATGCTTACTGGATCACATATGACTTTGGGTCAATGCTCTTGGCACTAATCTTTAAAATCGATTCATTTGTTCTGACTTCCTCCTAGGATGAAGTGAACGACCAAGTTGAAATTGTATTTACGCGTTTTTAATCTCTACCTGTTTCATGACGTGTGGTGAGTGAGACGTCGTATATTCCCATAAATATCATCTGATTTCCTCTGATTTCGGCAGCTCACTCACTTTCCATGATAAGAGTGTATCAGTGAGTGGGTCTCATGTGGAGGAGATGGAATATGTGGTGAATGCTCTACTGCTGAAATAAAACCAATAAAACTCAATGGACAATTATGCACTCCATCGTGTCACTTTTATCACTTGAAATGCGTCTGTGTTGAAATCCTTTCTATACTAAACTAAATTCTTTAGCAGTGAATCTAAAGACACACATAGATGCACAAATCAACGAAAGCAAGAACTAGCCCAGTTTATAAAGTGGCATACAACGACTTTCAACCACAGTAATCTATCGTTGACAATTAGCCCATCATAGAGGAAGACTGTGCTCTGTGTAGCATGGAAACTTTCATAGAAATAAACAACTTGGATAAAAGTGATTACCAATCAAGGATTTAGTTCAAACAAAAGCCCCACTATATCGGTGAATATTAAGTTGATGAAGTCAAGTAACTGGGAATTTAAAAGTATACAGGACCAATAGTGATTTGTGATTAGAAATAGGTGAAATAGACGTGAATTACATAAATTCTAATAGAAATCGTAAGCATCGTATAAAAGTAGACTTTTTTATTGCAAATTACACTGTCAAATATCAATATTATATTCAATTTTTAACCTCATTTCCAGTGGTAAATACTTCTCACGAAGACCCTACACAACTTGCATTGACCTGTGGGATGATGAAGATTTCTTTTATGAATACTGATGTATTTCACACATAGATGAAATTTACTACGAAATAAAAGGGAACTTGTTTCAGT